GGACTGATGCTATCCAGCCCCCATTCACACTGCCCAACCATTCCCCGGAGAATTGGTGGATGGCCTGTGTTATATCTTTCACTGACTGGAACATGTCTAATTGGTTCTTGACTTTATGCCACTGTAACGTGAGTTCTTGTTGAATGTATTGTTTTATCATTTCTGTCGCCTCTTCCCCTGCTATGTGAACCCCCTCAATGTCGTGCATACAGCGCTTTCTCCAGAGGGACCACATAACCGCTCTCCGCCCCAACTTAAACATGTTGTTTTCAAAGATATTGTCGGTGGGGGAGGTCGATGTCTCACATAATATGGCCCTCTAGTCCCAGGGCCAGGTAGACTCAGTGCCCAGAAGTGTCCAGATCCTGTCCCACCAACGCCATGTGAGACCAGCCCCCGGACACTGCATGAATATATGTTCTATGGTTCCCGGGATTCTGCGGGAGAGGAAGGCTGAGTGACACGACTTACACCATGGTAATGCCCTCCCTTGCTGTTTTAGGTATGTACGATCTATGAGTCAGTCGTTGGTGGGCAAACAATGGTGTTCTACTTGTCACTGTAGTGAGGCCATCCTCGTCGGTCTAGATCGTGTGGTGGTGAACCATCGGATGGGGCGTATCTCTTCTGATCCCAGATTCAACTGGGATTTCCAGCGAGCTTTCACCCTTTCTTTTAGGTTCACTTTGGGTCGCAGCAGACGATAAGCGGTTTTCACCATTAGGGAGTATAGCTTCTTATTCTCTCCCGACCTGTATTTTCATGGAGGGGCCCATTGCCATTCCTCCGGGTCCAGCGGAAGTTGGTATGGAATCCACACATCCTTGTCCCGCAGTACCCGAATCCTGTGCAGGTCGGTGTTTCTCCACCGTCTCGTCATGTCTGGGGCGTACCGGGTAAGCACGTTGTCCCTGTCCACGTGGAAGAGGTTGACCAGAGATTCGTTCGGACGCACTTCCACCACGTTATCCACACTGGCCGGCTCGCCCGGGGCTGCTACCCAGTCTCCTTCTACCAGACGCGGCCCTTTTCGCAGAATGCGCACCCGGTCCAGGGGGATGGCAAAAATCAGCGATTCGATATGTTCTTCCACTTTATGACAGTACTTTAGTGTAGACTTTAGTTGCTGTGCAGATTTCCAATCTCCTTTCTCTGTGTCCCATATGTCCTTTATTCTGAGTATACCTCTTTTAACCCAGCTGCTCCACGGAGTGCTTGAACTACGGTATACCCTGATGTACCGGTCTGTTATCCTCCGATTCCCGAACAAAGGCTGGCGTGCGACCTCATCCCACCTGGACGGCGGGGGTTTATCGGGTGACGGGAGTCTGCGCCAGGCTTTCACCACTCGGGCCCAGAAATCGTCCCGGGCCAGATCCGAGCGGGGTGTGTCACGGCCCACAGGTTGACCCCTTCGAGGGGACCGTGGCACCGCCCAGAAGAGGTCCTCCAGCCAGGTCAGCGGGAGTACTCCCTGTGGAGCCTGTGGAGCCAATCTAGCGATTTGTTCCAGCGCCAGGGCTTGCCAAATGGATTGAGCTGGGGATTCCCAGAATTAAAGACATCTGGGATCAACTACAGGGTGAGTGGAAGTCAGAGTCGGAACTGAGAACAACTCTTGGACAAGTAAGAAACTTAAGCTCGAAACTGGCGCTGTCGATTAGTGCGATCCCTGAACATTGGGAACAACAACTGGGTCCGGATGCCGTCGACCCGCCAGGTCCTTGGTTCGTATGCATGAATGGGGATCACTCAAATTGTGGAAATTGATTGAATACTTGCCAGATGGGAAGAGGTCTTTTTAAGGCTGGCAGATCAATCAGAATGCTTATCTGTTGCAAATGGATGATGATGAACACCCGCCAATGGGCTCTACCCTTTCTCAAGTCTGGGTGAGAGAAACGGTTACATCTCAAGGAGCCAAGGAATGTGATGTACTTCTGAAAAGCTCAACTGTGATCAATATGAAACTTGACCCTCTTTTGTGGGAATGGCGAGCATTGGGAAAATCGGGAGAAAACTTAAGTCTGCTGGACTACTCTCCGAGGATTGGATGTAAGTTGCTCCAAAAGACCCTTTGACTGCACGATCAAAATGGATGGCTGTAATGGAACTTGATCCCAACAAAATTGATAAAGCCCTGCTCAACTGTTGGGAACAACTGAAGTTAATTTCCTGCCAAAGACAAGCTTCAATCTTATGGCTGCTTTCAATGATGGCTACCCCCTCTGCGGTTTGGCTAGCAGTTAGGCAGTTGGATATCAACCTGAAATGCCTCAGATGTGAATGGGCCTTCGAGTCTACTATCCATCTGTGGTGGGACTGTCCTGCCTCTGCTCGAATTTGGAAATGCTGGATTAAGCTCTGGACTGGCCTACCTGGCCAATCCCTGATATGGGATAAGTTTTGGACATTACTGCGGGCGATTCCGGACGATGCCTTGTTGACCAAAGGCTGGGGCTACACCGCGCAGTCGGCCAGCGCTGTTATCTTCTCGGTGATCTGGCAGGGAATGAATGATCAAGTCTTTGAAGGGAAACAGTGGTCTTACTCACAAATCAGAGGCACTACGATGCAAAATCTGAGAAGGGTGATTCAAGCTGATTGGCGGAGGAAAGATTGTCAAATCAGGTAACCGAGGTGCCTGGTTGAATCACAGTGGTTCAGAGAAATCAAGAAAGCTGACCCCTCTCACCAGAGCTGGCAAACTGTGGTTCAGAGAAACTTGGTGTTTGAACGATTCGTTTGCGTCAATTGATGAGAGGGGTCAGCTTTGTGTTGGCCGCCTGGTTGTTCAATCCATAGAGTAGGGTTATGAACAACCTGCTCACTCGGCTGATAGATCGGCCGCAGGAGGTAGGCAGAGGGAGGACGAGGAGGGGGTGACAATGCGAGCATGGGCCTCATGATAGAGTGCCCCTTCCCCATTTTTAGAGGCTGATCAGTAACCCAATGTATAGAATAGAGATAGGGTTGATGAACTTAGTACTTTGGTCGATCGACTTTTAATTTAGTAGAATTCAGTGGTTAGATCAGCCATGAAATGCGAAGATAGGTCATTGGTTTAACTTCCCCTCTTAGGGACCCTTTTGGTAGAAGTTATGGTTTGTTCGTTTTTTTTTGGCCATGAAGGCAGAATTTTTGGCTAAGTAGATGGATAATCTTTTCGGTTTGTTCGGATTTTCTGACCTTGTGATACTGTTTTCTTTTCCCAGGGTTAGGAAATGTCAGCGCAGCGGTCTAGATTTGGCCATTCTGTGGATGGACTATAATTCCCAATGCCTGCACCTAAGCTGGGTAATGGTCCCAGTAATTTTTGCTTTTGTTTTCCGGGTTGAGATGTGGAGGGATTCCCGGCCTGCTCTTTCTTGTGTGGTAATGAATAAGCTAAGCTGAGTCTCTCTGAAAAAAAAAAAAAAAACAAACTGAAACTGGTGACAATAGTTACTAGTTAGATACTTTCTTGTGAGTATTGGTGTGAGAACAACTTCGTGCACGGTCTTCCCCGACTTGGTCTTTTGTTTTTTTTTCTGTTTTTTGAACGGGCACACAAGGCCCAACTGCCAAGCCTCCTCATACCCCCGACAAGTTCGGAAAAATGGGAAAACTGCCAGTTTTCCCATTTTTCCCAAGAGTGGCAGAGGTAGTGGTACCTCACCCACTGTCGGGAAAAATGGGAAAACTGGCAGTTTTCCCATACTCCTAAAAATCGTGGGCTGGGCCCGACGAGGGCTGCCGTTGATAAATCTCATCATTGGCGCCCGTTTTCGGCCTCCTAAAAGATCAGAGGCCCACCTGAGGCCGACATGGGAACAGGTAGTGGTGCCTTTAATCAAGGAGCCCCAGCATCTGTGGAAGGGTCGACAACAAAAGAATCCTTGTTCGATCTCTCCGCGCGAACAAAACAACATTTCAAATGTTACAAAAAGTCAAATGCATACACCGCCCATCTCCCTGCACCAGCCACTTTTCAAACAATCAGTCATCTTGCCACCCCAACAGCACTTGATGTCTCAAACAATCGATCATCTTGCCAACCCAACAGCAATTGCTGTTGAGATCTACACTTCAATGGAACCCTAATGACAAAGATTTTTCACGACTGGTTCACTGATCACTCACAATATCAGCTGCACAGGATGTCTACGTATTTATTATGCAAGCATCAAAACACAACCAATGGCTACATACACACAATACAGCTTTTCTTTTCTCCATATAAAAGCACAATTCCATGGCCATAATTTCATAGAAAAGATGCTCAGAGATTGCATCAATATCTATATTTCATCGAAAACAGAAATATGAGACGGAGAAGAGGCAACGCTGAGCTCTTGCTTTGTACTCCGATTCCCAAAATCTCTCATTGTGCTGCTACCCACACACATTCATTCGCAAGAGCACACAACCACGGTCTTCTTTCGTCATATTCCGTCCATTCCACGTCCCCTTTGTTTCTGTTACACCATCAGCAGATCCTCTCTCCACAAGGAACCTTCATGATGACATCGCCAGGAAAGAACTCGTACAGGCATCGATCAAAACTTCCCGCCAAACACCATCCTCTGACTGCCAACAAACACAATCTCCCAACTGCTCTATGGTACGCATGTCAGCATCCAAGCTTCCCAGCAAACGCCACTTTCTTCTGCTCACAATCTAGAATCCTATTCATACATGTGCTCACATGTGCCTCACACATGTGCTCACAATCCAATAACCCAGGGTACACACACACACACACACACACACACACACACACACACACACACACACACACACACACACACA